TTAAGAAAATATTCAACCAATAATTGAATGACAAGGGGGCTTGAGAATCGCTCAAACGAAGAAACGTCTCCCTCGCTACTTTATTACTTTTATGTTTTAATTGGTTAGATACTATGTGATAGATCCCCATTTGGGATGCTCTTATTCACAAGAAAAATACTAGTGAAATCGAAATATCCCTTTTATAAACAATTTCAAAATCCGTTAAACGATGCCAGAAACAAAACAAACCACAACGATTGAGGTTCTGTGCCGCCGATAGTGGAGTAGTCTGTAGGCAATAGTACTACCAGCGAGGTTTTGAAGTCTGGCCTCGGGTGGCGTGGTCTCAGCTTCAGTGTTTGGAATCGGTATTTGATTCGCTTATCCACGTGGCTAGTTTGTTCGACTTTTGTCCGTCTTTTCATTTTGTTGTAGTTTGGCTTTAGTTGAGTGGATTTCCGTATTTATGTTTTCTAAAATTTTTTTTAGCTGCTGTCATAAATTTTACAATGGTACAAAAATTAGGGTTTTTTTAACATTCATCAAAAAAAAAAAATGTGTTACACTTACATACATAGTAAATGAACAATACACTAAACATGTAGGGTTGATGTGCCTTGTTTCTTTTGCCTTTTGGTAAGTTTATTTTAAGTATTTGTAGGAGCTTCTACATGCATTTAGGTTTGTAATATATTTTTTTCTTCTCATGCAATTTAAGAAATAAGGTTTTCATCCAGTCCGGTAATTACGAGTAAACCATGGACGTTCTGATCTTGAACTAGTCGGACTGCCGGTTTCTGGGGGAGCTTGAGATCGAGGTCGAATATGTCTTTGTTGATGAAAATTGGTTGACAATCAGAATAATCTAAAACCATTATTTTTGTTGGTTGAAGCTTTTTGGGGAGATTGAAAGAAACAGTGTAACTGTGAAGGAAAAATGTAACTGAACTAAAGCTGTAACGTACGGGCCAAAATAACTCTTATACTACTGATATGTCTATATATTTGCATTATCTGTGTACATATTTGCATACATTTATCCTCTGTTTAGCTTCATTCTGCATCATTTAAGCACCCTTTAGCCATAATTTAGTTTACATTTGTATCTTAGAGTCCTAGGATAGAGTTGTACATATTTCTCTTCTTTTACCCTTTTTCAAGTGGTACTTGTGCTTAAATGGAGTTATCCGGCTTACTGGAGCCTAGAGGGTTGGAGTGGAGTACAGAGGAGCAGATGAGCAGAGGAACTACACGGTTCCGGATCAAACAGGGAGCAGCGGAGCATAAATTAGTCAAGATCATCAAGGAACACCGGTGAGAGGCACTTGGAATAGCAGAAGGATGGAGTCTCAACAAACCTACTGAAGTTCATTACTTGGGTGAGAATCAGGACGTTAGTGCACCTTAAATCTATGCACAGATGTCCCAGGTTATCCCCTTTGTTATGATGGAGCATCAAGACTCTCCGACTGTTGAACCAGGCGCATCAAACTGGGTGAAGAATAAGCTGAAGAAACCGATATCTCCTGATATCGGTACAAACCGATGAGGAAGACCAATATACTGCCTCCATCGAGAGGCTCGTGTCGCGACTCGAGAGCTGTTGGCCGAGTTGGATAGGCAACGGAAATCGGTCACTTCCCTCATATGGAGTGACCGATATTTAATGCATTTTGTTGACTTTCCTGGGTCGACCGTTGACTCGAGTTGGGCGATTCGTTAACGCGTTGGGTCGACCCGGGTACTGTTATGAGGGGCTATATATATGTTATTAACCCCTGAAAAATCTAAGTCTTGTTTTTCTTTCCTTTTTAAGTTTTTAAGCTTTCCATTTACGCTTGAGTTGTAATCGATTCTTAGAGCATCAGATCTTTGATGTTCTAAGTTACTTTAGTTATAAAGTTTCAGTCTTTAGCTTAAAGTTCCAGTCTTTTACTTGTTAATCGCATTTATCTTCGTATATCATCATTCGCACCTCRCTCAAGCTCAATCATGGTTTTTCCCGTAGCCATGAGTAAGTAGTCCACCCATCGAGTATCGGGGTAGTAGATGTAGAAGCTTTAGAGCTTGGCTAACTTAGTTTCGGCCTAACCCTTAGGTTTCTCGAGCTTAGGTTGAGATTAATGCTCGGTTCTCGGTTACAGCATTGAACTCTGTCTTGAGGCATTCCGCTACCTAAAGGTGTTTGATGGAATGCATGACTGACCTTTTGCTCAGCTAAGCGACCCCTAACCATGAAAGTGTTGTTAGGGGAGCTAGGTGAGCTTATTGAGACTTGATCTTAATGCTTGAAGAGTACTTATATCTAGCAGCGAAAGTTAGTTAGATGTTTGTACTCAACAAAGTGGTTATTAGTAGCATCACGAAAGTGGGATGATCATTATTCATGTCCCATGCTTAAGAGTGAGCTTAATACTAAAGGCCCTGATTTTGTTAGGCGAGATCTAGTGATCTACATCAGTTGCTATCCCGATATTTGGTGTTTTCCATCATCATTGCATTTGCTTTCAAGTCTCTGTTTTGCGTATCTCTGGTTTATATACATTTCTACTTAGTTTTGTTCATCCAAACGAAACCCTTGTTGATGTTTTAGCTTAATGAAAGTTCTTTATGGTTTAGTAATTTGAGTCMTTGTCTTCCCTATGTTCRAACYCTTTCACTTGCTGCAATTGRATCATGAGTAGGTTGTTAGCTTTGTTAGGTTTTTATTTGATAAGTTAATTTTGCTTATAACTGGTAAAATAACTGATCATCAAATTGGCGCCGTTGCCGGGGAAGCTGCGCACTTAGATATTAGATTTGAGAACTTTGTCAAGACTAAAGCGTTTGTTTTTATTTTCTTTTTGTTCTGCAATTTTAC